TCTCCTGGAAATTTGGAATCGGGATTCGGGAATTGGAGATTGGGGTTTGAGGATTGAGGGTTTGATGATCAGGGATCATATGTAAATTCAATATCGTAACTTAAAGATGCAAAATAAACAATTATGGAGGTAACTGGGAGTTGCAAGGCCCACTTGTAAACTAAGCACAGTATTGTCAAACAATTTTTCTTTTGGCTGTTTATATTAGGGGTTTAGCCAGGTTACTCTTTGTTAGGAGAGTGACCTAATAAGGGAGTCTTGGGTGCTAGTTCTTGTCACCAACTCCCCTCCCCGTGAAAAACATTTTTCTCCAGTGGAATGGAATTACGTGACCGTAGAAAGCCTTTACTTTTTTTTATCAAGGAGAAGGGGAGGAGGGAGGGGGGGGGGGGGAGCAACTATAGTCCCCAGTCCCCCTGCTCCACCATCCATGGGATGATGATGATGATGTTGATGAGAATAAGTAGAGTTCAGTTTGGTCTTATCTTTAAACGTAACGTGTAATCATATAGACCATGAACAGTCTCTATTGTTTCTAAGTCTGTTGAGCAAAATGTGCAAGGAAACTAAGTAAATATCCATGCATGTGCAGATGGCACAATGTCATGGGAAAGACCTAAAACTTTGAGGCTATTCCCAAACCCAGGGTGAATTTTAAATTTTAATGAACTTTAATGGTGCAGTATTTTTTTCGCTATGAAAATTGAAATCTAGCTATAACTGTACAGTGTACCTAATAAAATTACATCCCTTTGCTTCCTTTGCGGGCAATGTCTTCAAGTAGAAACTGGTAAATTTTTCGCTGATTATGACTGTAATGTAAAATGGAAACATATCACTGACTATGTAGGGAACCAAAGACCAGCAAATGAGCTCTAGTAGTACAGCCAATCATTGTGCATAATTGTGGTTTTATATACTTGCTGCTCATTAACTTCGAACGAAAAAAAGAGTCTGCTTCCAATCTAGTAAGTAATGATTCAAAATGAAGTAAAGCTTAAAATAATTTGAGATTTGGCAGCCATTACTAGTATTTTTATTGCGGCGTGGAACTTGGCGAGCAATGTGTATATCAGATGTTACAACATCAATGTCAAGGCCAGAGAATAACTCTAAACATAGGTTGGCAGTCTCATGCTTTGATTCATTTTCAGATATTTCCATAATTCCTTTGTCTTTAATGTATATAGTAATCAAAGAAACATCTCTTCTTTATCAACCCTGTAAACTTGTTTGGTTAACAAATCCTACCTTCGAGAGAATCTTTCAAACTCTTCCCCTACTATGTAGGTTTTAGCCTCAGGATTGTGAAATTTTGTTGGTAGCTATCCAGGGCTCAAAATTGGAAAAATCCTCAGTGACCAACTGGAGAAATATAGTCGCCAGATGCAAATTTTTAGTTGCCAGTTTGTATAACGTAAATGATGCAGCTCATAGCATGGCTCGATCCGTCTGAATTGATTGTTTGAAAATATCGCGGATAGAAGTCAGTACAAATTAGGAGATAAACTGGCTTTGTGTATGCGATTTGGCACATTTTTTATGACAAAAGCAGAGGAAGATAAGATGAAATGTTTGTTTTAACTTTACTGTTTTACAATGTAATTGAAATCTAAATCATAAAGAAATCTGGTCGCCAAAGTGACGACTAAACAAGAATTTTTAGTGGCCAAGGAGAAACTGTCAGTCGCATTGGCGACCGTATCAGTCACAATCTCAAGCCCTGCTATGTTAGGCTCTACTGAGTCAGCCATCTGTGAGACTCATTACTATGATTTCTAAATGATTTTGTGTGTTCATTTGTTTACTTTGCGCTCAACATTAGGTTCATCACTGCCAGGATTATATCAACCTGTGGTAAGTTAACAGGCTGAACCTGATAAAGTGAAAACCACTGAGGCCTGCAGAGAATGGCCAGTTCAGGTCCTGAAAAGGTTGGTTATGACAATGTTGTAGTCAATTCCAAGAGCATCCACTCCCCCCCCCTTAGGCAAAACCCTGCGCATTTGATTTTTTCCAAAAAATTCATCACTTACAGTGTCAAATGCCCAGTGCCATCAAATACCTCACCCTCCGTGCAAGAAGCTTGATCCAACTCATTTCGTTGACCCCCTCCCCCTTAAAAAGGACTTGCAAAATTTACATCAAATAGGCATTTTAAGTAATTCAATTTAAAAACTCAGGTTTCAATTAGCAATTTAGTACATGCATTTCGCAGCTCTTTTCACTATTTTTCGCTGTAGTTAAGCCTCATCACATTACCTCCCTGCATGCAGTGAGCATACAGGCACCCGTAGTATTACTAGAACATTTGCCCTGCCGAATCAATCTCCACGTCTTTTCTTTTAGCAAAAAAATGTGCATGTTAAATGAATAAAATGCAAAGAGTCGATAACTTCAGATAACTTCAGTTCGACACAGTCGTATCAACAACTTTTTAAAAAGCACAGGATTATAATTTTGGTTAATTAATCACTCGTGAGCCAGCTGTCATATAAAAGGGTAAGGGGCTGGACATAAGGGCGGACCCTCCCCACATAAAACTTAATTCAGGTTTCCCCCGGGCTGTAGGTTTTAAAATGCCACATACAGTGCAGGACCTGAATTGCATGTGAAAAATTATTCAGATTGTGGAGGGCGTTATCGACTTCGGTGGCTAACACCGTCTGAGATCATACGAAAGGCGAATTCATTAAATGTTTTATTACTAGTTCAAAATATTTCAGAAATATTTTCAAACTCATATAATAAACACCCAGGGGGGTACTCGGGATTTCAAGTGATGGGGATAATCGAAGGATCTTTTTGGGTTTGAAATTTTCGATTCCGGGATTTTTTTGGGTATGAAAATTTGGCAAGTATTTTTTTGGGTAGCTTGATTTGAGTAGGGATTTTTTGGGGTATTAAAAAGAATCGGTAGTGCCCTGGCTACGTAGTTCTGCGAATAAAGTACAAACAAACGTGTTTTGCTGTTGTTTAATAGTTAACTATGGTGTCGCTTTACATCGCACGTGTTATACACATGTCTGCATTGTCGCGTGGTGCCCGGTCGTGTACAAGACTTCAACCGCTTCAATTCAGTCAATTGGCTTTATGCATCAGTCAATTCCACCTGTGCCCAGCCCCCCTCCCCTCCCCGGGCTGACCCCCCGGAATTAGCATTTTTTTTGCCTAGGATGGCAAATTCCCGGGAGTGGAGACTCTTGAGCTGGCAAATCCCCCGGGGTGGGGACGAAAAAAGAGGGAAAATGCCCCGTCCTCCATCAACAGCGCAACATTTTGTATTGATCGCACAGTCCAATAGTGCCATTTTAATGTCCGATTTTTTGTTTCAGTTAACGTCTTCCTTTGTAATAGCGCTAGGATTCTAATTAAGACTCCACGCTGCGACGACATGCACCAGTTTATGGTTTTAGTATCGATATAAAATTATTGACATCAAAATTAATAGAGCGCTGTAAAGTTATATGTTATGAATAGTTTTATTAATATGAAGGGGTGTTCTTCAAATAATATCAACAGAAATTTGATTCAATAACCAAAAAATGTTGATTTACATCGATAGCTTCAATTTCGCTATGTAATTCTGGCTTGATAAGCAATGAAGAAATGCATACATACATGTAAAATCACAACCCTCTACAATTTATTCCTGTCCCTGACAGACGAGCCAATCTGCCTTTTTTTGCAGTAAAACCTGTGTAGTTATTTTCTGATAGGAAACCACGTGCGTGCAAAAGCTCGGGAATAGCCCGGTGGTTGGCAAATGCCCGGTCCCCGGGCAGTGCAAAATTTGCAAATGCCTCACCCCCAGGACTGACAAGGCGGGCAAATGCCCTTCAGTAGCCCGGGGGGCGCTGGGCGCAGGTGGAATTGACTGATACATTACCATCACTGGAATTCCCTTTTGCTTTAAATAGGCATGGGATTTTTGGGGGGTTAATTTTTGGTCCAGGGATTTTTTGGGGCTTTGCTGGAAGCCCTAGGAATTTTGTTGGGTCTTGACTTTTGGCTCCATTCGATCATCCCCGTCACTTGAAATCCCGAGTACCCCCCTGGGAATAAACGTTCTTACCTCTACATATTCCTCGGTAGTGTTGAGATATGATCCAAGATGTGGGGATTTTTCAGTATCGTTGCCATTATTATGATATAAAATCGCCTATTTCCTCTGTGCTTAACTTGTGAAATCATCCGCCATGTTCTCAATTTCTCGACCCCAGAGCTCTTCTCTTTTGGGCATGACCAACTTCGTCCCCAGGGTCTTCTCGGTCTCCAATGTTGGAGAGCGAGAAGACCCTGGGGACAAGGTTGGCGCACCTCCAAAACAGCTCAGCCGCCTCTCCGCGGTTCCACAGGTGACCCAAGCGTAATTAATGAGAGCTTGTTTGGGAAATAAGACTCACATCGACTATCAGTAAAGTATAAATATAGTTACCCGGTTTCTATGTTGTTTCAGCGCAATTTGAGCACTCATGTGACCTGACAAATTGCGCTGACATACAAACTCTCATATTACGCTTGGGGCCACCTGACTGCTCATGCGTGACTTCAATCGCCCAATAAGTATATTAACGATTGAAATCAGTCGAAAACAATTTAAAAAAATCTTCAGATTGACCATCCCTAGATATCATGAAAAGTTTAGCCGAGGGATTTAAGCTAATCAGAAACAGAGAAGTATCTTAAATGATCATGAATAATAAAACATGTTATTCCTGGCCAATTGTTTGAGCGAATGTCTGTTATTTAAGTAGGTTCTTTGTTCGCATTGTGCTAACAATTTTTATCTTCTTTTTATTGTCTTTTAATGACACTTGTCATTGACATATTTAACATTGTTTATCAAAATTTTCATGTTGTAGATATTATTACCCGTGTATGATAACAAGAGTGGATGATGATAACAATTATTTCCTTTCCCACTAAACTGTTTCAGTGAAGAAAAGTGAAAAAGTTAGCATTTAAGATGTCCTTTTAAGATTTATGTTAATCTCTTACAGGCTGGTTGTCCTCAGATCATCAGTTCAACTTCACCAGGAGGAGTGCCAGGAGATAGTGGTGGTTCTTCTACCAGACCAACACTTAAAATTACGCTTCTGGGTAGTGAGTGGAATTCTTCAGCTGGTGGTTTGTCGACATTTAACAGAGAGCTTGCAATTCACCTTTCAGAACATCCTGAAGTGGACGTGACGTTGTTAGTCCCAGAAGGAGCTTGTAAAGACGAGGAGAAAAACGAAGCTAAAAGCTATGGAGTTAATATTGTCGATGCAAAGTGTCAAGCAGGGTTAGATCCACTTGACTGGTTAAGCTGCCCACCCAAAGATCTCCACATTGATATTGTCATTGGACATGGTATGAAACTTGGCCGGCAAGTACAAATAATACGAAATTTTGTCCAATTTAAGTGGGTTCAAGTGGTGCATACGGCTCCAGAAGACCTTAGCAAGTTTAAAAACTACTCTGATCCCACTTCTAAAGGAGAAAAAAAAAATCAAGATGAAGTTGATCTGTGTAAACGTGCTGATCTTGTCATGCCGGTTGGTCCTCGGTTAACAGACTCTTACTCGGCATATTTAAGGCGCTGGAACAAAGATTTTTTTTCATTCACTCCAGGACTTTTTGAGAGAGAATTTGGAGATTTAGAACAAGTTGCGAATAGCAATGAAGATTTTAAAGTGTTAATAGTTGGTCGTGGTGATACAGAGGATTTTGAGCTAAAAGGGCTTGATATTGCCGCTAAAGCATTTGCTGATCAACAGTTGAAAAACAAACCTTATGAATTAACCTTTGTCGGTGCGCCTGAAGGAAAACAAGAAGAGGTAAGGGACCGACTTCTACAGTGTGGTATTGCTAAAGAGCAGTTGACTGTCAGGAGATTTGTACAAAGCAGAGACAGAATGAAAGATTTGCTTTGCGAAGCTGACCTTGCTATCATGCCGTCGAAATCAGAGGGATTTGGCCTTGTTGCAGTTGAAGCTTTGTCTGCAGGACTACCCATTCTTGTTAGTAAAAGGTCAGGATTTGCCAAAGCAATAGATAATGTTCCTCATGGTCATTTTTGTGTGGTGGATTCTTATGATCCTGCCGAATGGGCGAAAGCGATTGCGGCAGTTCGTTCCAGACATGCAATGCGGCTGAAAGAGATTCTTACTGTTAAAGCATCTTATGGAAAGATGTATAATTGGAAGGAGCAATGTGAAGCCCTTGTGGAGAGAATGTGGCAAATGGTGCAGGGTATGATTTGTACTAAATATTGTTGTTTTCAGAGTGCAAAGAATGCATGCACTTTCTTAGGCTGGCCTTTTAGGCCAATTAATTATAGACTGAAATGTCCTAGCTAAAGAACATTTTCACTAGCATCAGTGCATGATAAATAGTCAATTACATCTCTGCAGAATTGTATACGGTTTGTAAAATTACGCTGGAGAAGATTCATCTGAATTTAACCGGGCGAGTGATGAATAATCCTTACTGAGGTTGAGGCGGGCCAAAGAATTTCACGGGAGAGGACGACGGGCTTAAAGTAGGGGAGGGGAGGGAGAAGAAGGACAATACGCATGCAAGCAAGCAGCTGTTCGTTTGGCAATCCCGTGCACATGAACGCGGGGCTGTGACTGGTGTGGTTGTTATCTGCCCACCAAGGTCACATTCTTGTTTGCGGTCTTGCAAGCTTACATCTGGAAAGTAGATGTATGGAGGTTGCATGCACAATCCGAGTAAACTTCTACACCAGTCATGCACAAAACTTGACGACAAACGTCTGCCAGCACAATATCCAAAGGCGCCTTCCCCTGGGCTTCCAAACGTCACATAGAAATATCTTTTACGAATCCTGCAGCTCTCACCAAGACGTAATTCTGAAATTAATTTTAAACGCACATCCCTAGCAATATTTTTCAAGACTTGTCAAATACACGTGCCAGTGTTGTTGAGAGAAGAAATACAATGATATTTTCTTCTTTTTTTTTTCCATTAATTTTTCAGATAAGCAATCAAGTGCAAGTTATTCAGGGTGTTTCTTTTTTTCGTATAGGCTTCGTTGGCAGGCCTTTTATGTCCCTTTCTCTTCTCCTCCCCACAGCCATCTCCGCCTCTCCTTCCTCGGTTTTCACTTGCTTCGAAAATAGCGCCCGAAGCTATTCAAATTTTAAACGAGGGCTCGTATAAATGAATGCTCACACCAGAGAAGTTCATCCACAGACTCAAAAGTAATGCATGGTTCAATTTTACACGTTACCACTCCCCCCCCCCGGCAATCCCTGGGACAAGCACTACTCTAGCTCTTCGAGCCCGGTGGTGGAGAATTTTTAAAAGCGGTTCTTTCCCGGGGGTATAGGGGAGCTGGAAAATTTTAAAAAAAATCCATTTTCGTAAAGTTCATCATTCTTCGGATGACATGATGGCACCGGACCGCATGGAGAAGACCCCCGAGACTTTTTACTCTCAGGCAGACTGGATAGGAAAGGATAACTTCCCAAAATTATAATGTGTATCCGAAGGTACGTTTGTTACAAATTGTCAAGCAAATGTACTCGAAGCGTACTCTAATGTATCGTTATTAACTATTTCTGTTTGTTCACTGGTCGTTAACTTCTTTCTTTTAAGGAAGCGCTGTTGGAGGCGATGTTGCACATGTAGATACTTTGTTCAATAACTTAAACGCTTTTCCAGAGTTTGAAACTCTGGAAAAGCGTTAAAGTTCTTGTTCAAACGCCTCTTTTTCCTACTGTACGTAAATCATCATTGTTATTTTTATGATGCACCCAAAACAAGGTAGTTGTGGTTGATGACAAGCGCGGTCCTGCCTGTGCCCGGGGTTGGCGAATAGACTGCCAGTTGGGAAAAAAACTAAATTTCAAATCATCCCCAGGGGGCATGCCCGGGAGAATGGTAACAGGTGGAATTGAAACATGCATGAGTACTATCATTACTAAATAAGTAGTACCTTGTGAAAATACTGAGGAAAGGGTTTCAATTGAATGGTGACATGCAATCTCAAAAACTCTCTCACTGGCGTTACTTGTCCTAACAGTGTGAATGAAATGGTTAACACGGAGGGTATGTTCTTTAATGCAGGAAATGAAAGCAAGAACATGTGCCAAAAATCCGATGTCCCTGATGAAAAGCATGAGGAGGCTTGTAGAACTTCAGAGCAACGACAACCATTTGAGAAGAGAGAGAAAACTTTAGGAACAAATGAAGCTGAATCTTCACCAAAGAAGGAACCTCTCGAAAACTGGAGGCCAAGTCTTTCAGAATCTACTTTTGACCCAGGTATGGAATATATCAACTTCGCCTGCTTATATACTTGTTAGTCATTCATAAGAATGTTCCCTGTTTCCATTTGTTGCTCTGATTTTATTCATGTTAAATTCTCTATATCTGGTTCGACTTTATGCATTCATGGGCACCCGCTAAATGTGGAAAAAAATAGCAAGGAAACGTTCCCTCAGCTGGAGAATGACTAGACAAGTACTTTTTTGCCATATTAATTATTCAACGTACACGTAATAGAGTCTATTCATTTCCTTCCTTGTCCCATCATAGATAATGTGTTCTTTGCTGCAGATTTTATCCCTTGTCTTGTTAGAAATAAAGTGTGCCTGTCGGCGAGTATGGATATGTCCAATCAGTTTAAAATGAGAATGCTCCCTTGAATACCGTATTTATTCGATTAAACGCCGCCCTCGATTTACACGCCGCAGATGGAAGCAAAATTACCGGTGAACGCCGCCCTCGAATAAACGCCGCACCCAATCAAAAGAATGCGGCGTCTATGCGAGAGTATGAGAAAAAAATCGGTACAACTTGGTAATCTACACCATCCGGACAATTACGATTCTATATCAACAAAATAAGATACAGCTAACCTTTGAAGAACATAATATTTGAAAACGATTAACAGTAACTGTTGTCAGTGATTTAAGAAAAGTTATTTTGAAACAAATGTCGGATTGGAAACGCTGAAAATTTTATAAACGCCGCGGTGTGCAATCGAGTAACTACGGTAACTGTACCATCAGATGATCTACATTTAGTCCGGCGGGATAGCCCGAAATTTCAGGTGAATTATGCACTTTTTGATACAAGCATGATGAAATCTGGCACACTGATAGTAGTCACCAGTACAAGCATTTCAGATATAGTGCCTAGCCGGAATTGCTAGTTTCAATGAAAACCACAACTAATTAAAATTCATTTTTCCTTGTTTATCAAGACATAGTAACATTTCAGTCAGTGATACCAATCTTTCTACCACGTACGTCTTGTTTGTCACACGCCATCAAACCTTGACTATGCGTTTCCATGGCAACGGTAGGAACTACAACTAAAACAATTTATAAAATGAATGTACCTTCAGTTGGCTTGATTTTTATATGTAAAAGAACTATCATCTTTTCTCATAGCTTCGTTGTCTAGTTGATTTCACATTTTCGTTACAGAATAAACTTAAGGTGCTTCTCTAGTTCTGCACTGCGCACCTCTCACTGCGCATAACAAGATGGCCGCCGTGAAAAAGAGCTTGTGCAGAAGCATTATTAAAATGACGACGATCGAAGAGCAACGTTAATGGATTTTCCATAGCGGTTTTGTTTTCTGTAAATTCAAGTAAGAACAGGTTGGCTGAAGGTGAATCTAAAAACGGAGATGCAATTTCTCCCGGATTTATTACAAAAGATGGTAAATCATCTAGAGACGGAAACCCAGATCAAAGTGAGAATGCCAAAGGAGTTGAAGCACAATTGAGAGGGAGTAGGGCTGGCTGTATCAAGAAAACTGACCCGTACGAGGGAACTGGTGCCACCCTTAACTCACTCTTGGTTGCATCATCGACTAACAACCAGTGGGAAATAAAATGTGTTTACAAGAGACATTTATTCCTATTTAATGTAGAGTTGCTTGTTTGACAAGTAAATGAAATGCTGAAGTCTTTCCACATTCTCACAATTTTTTTTGGATAAAGTTGAACCTGTAGCACATTACATTTTTACCTGGCATTACAGCCTTTTGGAAATAATTCAGTTTTAACCAAATTGATTGTTCTTTTACCACCAGAGAGAAGAGAAAGGTAATTGTTCTTAATGCTAAACAAGAAAGATGTTTCACTGATAGTTTTCTTTTCTGTAGAGTCAAGTAAAGGCAGCTTGGCTGAAGGTGAATCTAAAAACGGAGATGCAATTTCTCCTGTAATTAGTACAAATGATGGTAAATCATCTAGAGACGGAAAGCCAGATCAAAGTGAGAGTGCCAACGTAGTTGAAGCACAATTGGGAGGGATTGGAGCTGGCTGTATCAAGAAAACTGACCCATATAAGGGAACTGGTGCTATTCCAAAGAGACGCAAGCAAGGCAACAGCCGCAAGCTAGAGACTTCTAGCAGTAAGGACCCCTGGGCTGAAGAAACTGATGAAACTGAAATATTACCAGTTCAAGGTGAGCCTGAAAACAACGTTGATTTGTATTGTAAAACACATGGAAAAACCAAAATGAATCATTTCTTGGGTTTGGTCTTAGGGTCCGACGGATTATAAGAAAAAAGTTACTATTTCACAGACTGTCTTTACTGTAGAGTCTGCTGGGTCGACTGAAGGAGCTAACTGAAAAGCGCCAACTGGTACATAGAAGAATTACCTGTTGTTTTTTTTTACTTAAAATGCCGTAAAGCTTGGTTCCCATGGCAGCAAGCGTATGCGTGAGAGTATTAAAACCTTTTTTTTCTCTTCTCCCTACACTTATGTCAATCTTTTTTTAATTGAGGACACGATCGAAAAAAACTTGAATTACAGCTTGTGCTTTAGACTAGCAGCTCTTACATTTTTATTGACTAGGGCCACTGCTTGTGTTTCTTAGTTTATGATTTAGTTACAAGATGACTTACCCTTTGGGCAAGTGAGTTTTTAACGTTGCTTGCCCAGCAAAACAATCTATTTGTCCCGGACTACCGCGCGAGACTGTTTTTGGGGTCTGCATGGATCACCCGCAGTGGACATATTGGTCATAATCTATTATTATTTCATGAATAACACAAATTTCTTTTGTTATTCAACATCCTTTATTTAACTTACATACTTCATGAATATTTAACTAACTGAAAGTCCGAGGAGGGCTTGATAATGTAGCAGGGAAGAGCGGGGCTGATGAATTGAATAAATTGCTAATCATAAATGCAAGGACAATATCTATATAAATACCCGGTATTTATCTGTATATTGCCCTGCTGCCCTGGGCAATATACAAATAAATCCCTTCCATTTATAATGAGCAATTAAAGTAAATCATACACGTCCTTTGACCCCGCCAAACATTGTGAGAAAATTTCTCCCTTTAATACAAATATAGAAATTTATTCTGCAACTATAGAAAATACAGTAGTATCCCATATATCATACAGGCTATGTGTTCACTCTAAGAAAATTTTAAGTCTTTGGATATTAAAAACGAGCAATTCTGGAACACAACACTGTTTGATCCTTTCACAGTCGCGTTGTTGTCATCTTGGCAAAATCCTTTTACTTCGTCATCAACTAACTGATCTATAGCTACTTCTCTTTTTAACGAGGACTCGGCTTCCCTTTCTCCTACGGATCCTTCGGATCGACAATTTAATGCTTTAGAAAACTCAATTTTGGTAGAGACATCAGGCCTCTGATACCTTTGTAAAGATCTGATATCTCGGTGGCCCGTACGCTCCATAATCAACTTATCTGAGATTCCTTTTTCCAGTCCACGTGTTGCTGTTGTGGCCTCAGACTGTGATTGCTGAATTGGCCCTGTAGGTCTGCGTCTTTACACATTTTGCTAACAACGTTTCCAAGCTTGTTATGTCCAACAGGAGTCGATGTAACCCAAACTACAAAAATTGACAGTGAAAATAAAAATATGAAACCAAACTGAAACTTCTAATTACCGTCTCCGGCTTGCGACCATTAAAACTGACTGACATTTTTATCCCCTTGCACCCGAATTGTAAATGATCCATATTTATAGGTATCATACCTTCATCTGTAGACTTGTATTTCTGTCGTGGAGTGAGGTAGAATACATTGTTTTCTGAAGTCTCCCACTAACTCTTCCAAATTCAACTCAGGGGAAAAAGGCTCCTGAGAGAAAGTATTTTGCGTTAGGAAAATTTCGTCGTCACTATCCATTGCCGTTCTCACAAGTGTACTGGCCCCCCAAAAAATACCAAGACAAAAACAAAAAAACACAAAAGGTTTGAAATTTGATTCTTGTCGGCTTAGCAAACAAACAATGCGCTATTGTTCTCCGTTTCTCACCTAAGTGAGAACAAGTGGTTTGAACAAATTATGACCCGTGAAACGCCCTTTCTCGATGCTGTGTGAAAAGCTTTACAATACTTACAATGAATCACGTCATTGTCTGTGGTCGGATCAAAAAATGACAAAAAAACAGATGTCAAAAACAAGTGGCCAATTATTGCCCTGTGAAAGACGACCTTTATGTAACCTATACCTCATGAATAATATCATGAAATAAGTTAGATAAACCCCTCGAACGTCGGTATTAATCCATATACATCCCGAGGGCTCTTACGTAAATAAAATAAAGCGCTTGTGAGGAGCACTGTCACGAGATATGGAAAACCCAAATATGTGCTTGCAACAATGAAAACATTAGTAAATTATTGCTATGGTGTAAGTGCCGTGAATCTATGTTCGGTTGTCTTTTGCCGTAAAGAAAGATAAGGAAACGGATTGAAACTTGAAATAATGAGTGTATGTGTGTTGAAATAATAGTGTGTTGTCATTTTCTCTGACAAGTTGTGAAAAAAATACTTTTTTGCTTCTTTACATCAATTCAGCCAAACTACGCTTGCGATGTGGCTTTTCCTTAATATCCAGTAAAATGTCCCAGATACGTTTTCCGTGTGGCGGCACACGTCCTTTCTTAAACTTGACTCTGATATAAATGTAAATAAACTCTTAACTTGGTTATAGTTCGATTTTAGAAATTTGTTATAAGAATGCACTCGCATATTCTTGGTTAAATTCTGCCATAAGATATAAAGTGTAAAAGAACAGGAACTGTAACCACATGCACAGTTAGCTGTTACTTGTGACTTATTCCATTGTTGGGGACTGTGGCAACGTCGTAACTTTCTTTTATAAATCAAATACACCGAATGCAAATATGGCGGATCTCTCGGTCGGCCCGGGTCTAGTTGCGCGAAAGCGAGGCTAGTGAGGCCTCGAGAGGTTTGTTTTGACTGCGCGTCTTAGCGATTCAGTCGGTCAATGTGGTTTCCTTCGAGTTGTTACGCCCTTAAGAGCCATCAAAGAGGCGATTTAACTCCAGTAGAGATGAAATTTGATTATCTTCGCTTTACCAAGGTTCTTTACGACGAAAGAAATGGATTCAAGCCATTCGGCGCGGCGAATAGAGGCACTTTACTATCACGGAGTTAAAAGAACGAAAGTGTGCTCGCTTCACTTCAGGAGAGAAGATTCACGAAACTATTAGAATGGGTGAATAACTGAAAGATTCATGGTTCTCAGTGTTTCAAGTTTGCTTTGTCCGTTTCCTTACCAAGGAAAGGTAAATATCCTCGAGAACGAGTGAATCCGCCGTCGCGACTTACCAATCTTTAGGAGCTCTCAGGGACACAACGACAGACAACAAGGCCGAATGTTTTCACAGTCTTCACGATCCTGTGTTCAAGAGTTTGGTCAGTGCCATAAAAGAAGCAATTTTTGGAAAATCGCTGTTAGTTTATCTCGAAACCATTCGACAAGTTGCTAAAATAGATCACGCGCAAGGTCAAATACAATGCTCGAATACTTGCACGCTCTTTCTCTGCCAGAACCTTTTTCCTTCTTCTTACTTTCTTAGTTGGCAACGGTTCCTCTGTTAGTTTTTTCAGTGCACTTTGGTCAAGGACTGTTCTTGAAATATGTCGCTTTCTTCTGGTTCTTACATAGTTCACGGGCCACGCTTGTAGGATTAACAGGCGATTGCAATCGCCTGTTATTGTTATTGTTGTTGTTATATTTTAATGTAGCTGTTTTCAGCGTGAAATCTAAAAGATTTTACAGTCCACAGCGGATGAACCCGTTCTCGAGAACGTTTACCTTTTGTTGGATAAATAACAGACCATGCAAACATCTTTGAACAGCACCATCTCTTGTGAAAATTATTTCATTCAAATATTTTCGTGAGTCCTCTCATCTAAAGCAAGTGAGGCGAGCACACTTTCGCTGTAAAGTGCTTCCCATCGCCGCGCCGAATCGCATGAATCCTTAACTTTCTTTGTGAAAAGATCTCGGGGAAGTAAAGGCTATTCCAGCTAGAGTAAAATCTTCTTTTTGGTGGCCCTCAGGCATGCAACAACTCGAAGCAAACCATTTCGATCGACTGAATCGCTAAGACGCGCAGTCAAAACAAAACTCTGGAGGCCTCAATAGCCTCGCTTTCGCGCAACTAGACCCGGGCCGTTCGAGAGGTCCGCCATATTTGCATTCGGTGTATAGCTTGCTACAGCAGATTTCTGAACTAATTTAAGGTCTTTGGGTCAAATTGGGTCTGTTCCTAACGAAACCAATACAAACGTTTTCAGATATAGTGCCTAGCCGGAATTGCGTTGGTTTCAATAAAAACCACAATTAATTAAATTTCATGAATGTTCAACGAATTCATTTTTACTTGTTTATCAAGACGTAGTAACTGTTTACCACGTACGTCTTGTTTATCACACACCATCAAACCTTAACTATGCGTTTCCATGGCAACGGTAGGCAACAGAAAGCTAAAACTACAACTAAAACAACTTTATAGAATTAATGTGCCTTAGTAGGTTTGAGTATTATATGTAAAATAACTATCATCTTTGCTCATAGCTTCGTTGCGTAGTTGATTTCACGTTTTCGTTACACTATAACTTAATGTGCTTCTCTAGTTTTGCACTGCTCACCTCTCACTGCGCATAACAAGATGGTCGCCGTGCAAAAGAGCTTGTGCAGAAGCATTATTAAAATGACGTTGATCGAAGAGAAACGTTAATGGATTTTCCATAACAGTTTTTTCTGGTCGAGATGAGTCTCAAAGTGTTGAAAATGTGCATAACGTATTAAAGCGGTAGCGTGTTGCTGAGTTCAACAGCCTGACCGAGGCCTTCGATAGTCGATGTTGTACTGAACCACATTAAATCACATTCAAGCTTCATCTTTAGCACATTATGTCCTACGTCTAATTTCCTTATCTCGATGTAAATTTCATAAAATCTTTTTTTCTTTTTCAATGCTTTTTTTCACCTAGTCCTCGCTGAAAAATCGGAATGAATGCAGGTGGTGCGCACTTTCTGAAGCTCTACCGCAAAAACAAGTACGGTGACCCTCATATTTTGTTACATGATTTCAATAACAACAATAATTCCCTTCAATGACAAAAAAAAAACTGGCAAAAATCTACGTTCAGTATTTTGGCAATCCTGTGATCAGCGGAGAAGGAAGTTGTATGACACACTATTAGGGCATGGAAGCTTCGGTTTAGATAGGACAAGGGCCTTCGCAGAGAGATGAGTGAATAGGATGTTGTGGGGGTTTTTTGTTCCAGAGGATTCCCAAATTCCTTCAAGTCTAAATAAATCTGTTTTATGCTCCAAGAAAGTGGCGAACACGGAGCTAGAAAAAAAGCGCGCGCGAAAGTTCGAATCATGACTGACTGATGACTACTTTCTACTGCGTCAGCTACATGAACTATTATTTTCATGTCTGCTTCTTCTCCCTGTGAACAGAAACATTCTCGATTCCTACAAGTATTTTCTTTTCATCATGCGTTTCAGTTTCATTCTGTTGAACGCACCGCGACAAGATCTGTGCCACATAGCAAACGACTGGCTAATGTGGAAGTAATTCCATTTCCCCCGTCAAAACACTTAACTGCTAAACTTAATTCCCCCACCTTATAAAATGACATTAAGTCTTGTTCAAAAGTAAGGAATCCAGCACCAGAGTCCTGCCGTCTCCAGTTAACACGACACTGAGGTTTTCATTCTGGGAAATAACACATTTTAACCCGGTCAATAGTTGTTTCCTGCGTCTTCGAGTTACCCTTTTTGTTTAATACTTCCTCTTTTTAATCCGACAGTTTTGTCTTTTATATGACTAGAATAGTTTCTTTTGTAGCTGCAAGGAGTAGCATGGACATTTAGAATGCGATAACGCAAACTCTTACCATCCGAACAAAGAAAGAAGAGTAAAAGCATGTGCAGATAAATTCGAAATCACGGCCTGCATTTACATAATGAAAAAAAGAAAATAACAATTCGCATCCAAATTTAAACATCTGTCAAATGTCTGTATTGTTGTACCTGTATTTTGAAATAAGACGTGCATAAGAGCAAGAAAAATTTCTTCGCGGGGGCTCTCGGGTCTGATGATTTCATTTGCTGCTAATTAGCTGGAATTAGAAAATTTGACTTGGCACTATATCAGAAAATGACCGGCCTGGGAATGTAAATATTTCTACAAAGTTTTGCTGCTTGTATCAAAAATCGCATAATTCTCTAGCTAAGCCGCTGTAATAATTAGGGAAACAAGCTATGTAGCAGCTGCTCGGAAGAGAAGTCACCAATGGTGCCTAACCCTGACCCCAAACAATACTAAAACAATTGGAAGAATGACATGTCGTTGTTTCCTTCGACCAATTAGGAGAGACCTCACGAGCAGCTCCTACACTACCCAAACAAAGCAAATAAGTGACTATAGGTCTAGCATCGGCTCGCCCGCATTACGCCGGATAATTTGAAGACCCACCTTTTTTTTTTTTGAGGCCTAGTATAGCATCCATACTAGACTGTTCCCGATAAATTTCCTAGAAAAAAGTGGATAAATT